GATTAACGGGACTACCACCCATAAGTAGAGGACCTCACTCCACGATCAGGTACGATGATTTTTGACCTCGAATTAAGACTGGGAATCCGACCTATACTGACTTGATCGTTGGAGTGCTCACCTTTTTGTGCAGGTCCGCCCAAGTGTTCAGATCGGTCCGGAGACCGAGTTCGAGCTGCGATCAGAGATACACTGTTGTGCATATCCTTGCATAAACACTTTCAATTTCGATCCAAATTTCAGGTCAATTCCCTTCTTCTTCTTCACTTTCTATTTTTAGAAGCAGTCAGCTGCAAGCAGAAGAAATTAGCAATTTCACGGCATTAGGACCTTCTTCTTCATCAGCTCCAATTCCAAATGAATTTCCGTCTCGCCAAGTAAGAAACCACCATGCCCATTGCCCATTTCTTCTGTTTTCAGAAAATTTCATTTTCCAAAATGCTTCTTCCATCTTTTTTATTTAACCCTAGATTTGATTTTGTGAATTTTGGCCTTAAAAAGTTTTATTTTCTTCCATTGAAGATTAAACCCTAGATTTGATTAGGTAACATTATTAATACCCTCCATCCAGCTATACAACATCTTCTTAATTAACAGCAAAATCAATAAATCCGACCAAACAAAATGTTCCAAATCCAGCTAGCTAGGAAAATCGGAAATTTTTTATTTTTTCTCTCTTTATTTAAATGGCCGAGCTCTTGCATAAATGGTTAGGTTATTAATTTCAACAGGTAAAGTTTTCATCGTTTTGAAATTTTGTGCATAGCTATTATAAGCTGCTAATCAATATTATATTATTTTTGTAGATATAAGTTCTTATTGTCATGTCATATGTTTTTTCAGTTGATTATTTAAGTTTTCATCATTTTGAAAATATTTATGGTTAGCAAGACAATAATATTTTAATAAATATAAAAAGAAAAAAGGAAATTCTAGTCATGTTAATTATAAGCTTTTTTAGTTAATTATGCTTTCATCATTTTTACAAATTTGTGGTTAGATAAGTATTCTTGTGGATACACAATAATAGTTTTGTGGATATATAAGTTTTTCTGGTTATGTTATATGCTTTTTACTTGTCTAAGTTTTCATCATTTTAAAAATTTGTGTTTGTAGTTATAAATATTCTTGTGGAGTTGGACTTGTGGGGTAAGTTTCTTTTTTCTAAATATGCGCATGCTAGAGGTCTCTAACATGTATGTTTTATAAAAGTAATTACTAGTATATCATATATTTATTGGGGTTATTTTAAGTAAAATTTTCTAAAATATTTACAAACACACATGTATGTTTTATAAAAGTAATTACTAGTATATCATATATTTATTCCAATGATTAACATTATAATAATATAGTAAATTAGTATTTTCTTTTTAATTTTATATGATAGTGAACCTAGTTAGATTTTAATTTTGTAATCATGGATATATTTTTTTTTTTACTTGTCCTTTTTAAAATATTATTCCAAATTATGCTTGGACCACTTTCACCCTCCTACATTGTCGAGTTTTGAAGCAAAAGAAAATTTTATAGTTGGGTTTAATCATTTATATATATAACGTTTTTTAATTTAGTTTTGGAAGGATATTAATTTCACCCATTGACACTTATTATTAGAAAAAAGAATTGATGAAAAAGTTATTAAAAAAAGAAAATTTACGTGTGGAGAAATGATTTTGAAGGAAATTATGGAGGGTTCGCGGAAGAGAGCAGTTGGCTTAGTTGGTTACAACGAAATTACGTTTAACTCCTCTTTCCATTACTCCAACTCTGAAAATCATTATTAGATACAGCCGCTCTTTAAATGTCCCAAGACATATTTCAACAAGCCTTGTGACTTGTTTACAAGATTATTTTTAAAAAGTTTAGCTAGGAGAGTGAATGCAGTTTTTCTTGAGACAATTTCCAGCAACCAGACATCTTTTATCGGGGAGAGACTTGTTGATTCCATTTTAGAAGTTGACAAAGTGCTCACAAGGTGTCATGTCCTTGACTTTAAGTTGAGTACTACAGGGAGTGAATACAAAAGTGAACATTACCGCATTGATGTCTTGACTGTGACAGATTAATGAACTGAAATAAGGGGTAGTAGGTGATATTAACATAAGTTGCTACTTAATAGCAAAGATGAAGACCTGTAACACTTCCCAGGTCGAATTCTTCCAGCCCTACCAGTCCTTTGTCTAGCCGAGGCCTTAGATATTGGTGCAACAATAAGGCTTTCAATATCTGATATCTATAAAACAGGAGATTAATTAAAAATTACATTTCCAGTGCATCATCACCTATATGATCCACAGAAAGGGAACTTCACCAATAAAGATGGTTAAAATAGTCTTTATTATTCAAGTCTTCAACATAACTTTTAAAACACATCAAGACTTGTAGCATCAGTAATAGCCAAAATATTGATTAGCGTTACAAAAAAGTCAACCAAGAAAATGGGAGGAAGCACAACTTTTTGCAGAAGATACAGACAGTGAATCTTTATACACATTATGATGAATTAAATGAAAAACGAAATTACTGGATTGTAAAACCGCAGCTTAGAGAACCCACTGTCAACAACATAGACAATGCCCTGCACAGAATAGAAGAGTCCAGAGTGAGGGATTTCCAAGCTATAGGAAAGCCTTTTAATAAACACAAATCTAACCTCGAGAGTTAATGATGTCTCTGCTATATTTTTTGAAATCACTACTTTCCTCTTCCCCCTGGGTGTGGGTGAGAACACAAGCTCCTACAGCATTTTATTTAGTATGTGCGTAGACAACTGTAATGAGTATTCAATATAAAGCAAGACGTCTATTCGTCCCACTAAGATACAAGGTAACTTGTTGGTTGTCACTAACCTGCTCTGCAGGTGAAAGCCCAGAGTAGAGGCAAGACGATCAATTCTGAAAAAGAAGCATGTAAGTTAGTCTTGAAATGAACCAAAATCTGCCATATGCATCAACCCCAAATAACATCATGAGTAGTTTTTGGGCAGAGTTAAAACTGTTGGCATCATTTATTTTGTACCAACAACCAAACAAAATAAGCAAACTATAAGAAATTGGGTTATGAATTTATGGTACAAGATTAGACTATTATCTTATCTCAAGATTTTATAAAAATTGTAGGGATGATGATGAGATCCTGACACAGAAACACGATCATGGATGGGGGCATCCAATGCTCATGAGTACACATGATAATTATTGCACTATTTCAAGTTCTAAATGCTACATGATCAACAAGTGTCCGCAACTCAAATCTAAATAGAGCGTTGCACGAACGGACCTGATTTTTTTCGATCATTTCGCTCTTCTTCTCTAAGCAATTGAATAGCAGCATCAATATCATCTTGGCCAGTGAGAAATACAAGTACATCACCTGGAGGTTCCTAAGGAACAAACATAAATTTTAACAAAAATATTGGTTCAATATAAAACATTACATTATGGTATGGTTTAAGGAAATACAAAATTTTCCACCAATCTGGAGAACTTTCATATGTCATAGAAATGTCAATCGAACTTCCAAAACCACTTCCTACAAATTAGCACATTAACGGTTTGTGCTCGTTGCTGCAATTGCAAGGTTCATATGCTAGAACTGATATTCTAATACGTTCAACTCCACTCGCACCTCTCTCAGATGAAAGTTGCATCTCTCTAAAATCAGTCAGCTTTCGACTAAATTGTAGAATGAATTCATGAGAAGATTGCCTTCATCTACTTGCTTGTGCAACAACCTTCATATGCCTTGAACAGGTCATACAGGGTGCTGATCGAAGCATCAAATTAGCAGTAATCTTATACTAGTCTAGTTCCCTTTGTATGCTGCTTTTTGAAATGTCATTAAAATTAATTGTGTATTATTAAAAAATAAGTGCCAACTATAAATATTTTAATCAGTTCTTATACTGATAAGTAGTTATAGTTAATAATAATATACACAATCTCAAAGGTCACCTGTTCATGAATTGACAATACAGTTGAACAGTAGACTGGACATAGTTTGAAACAGACTCCAAGGTAGAAAATTTGTACATTAAACCCTCTTCCCTGAATGTCAAAAATGCTTCAGCTACAATTTCCATATGATATGAACTTGCATCTCCCAAATTTAAAAGTATAGAAAGATGATACAATGGTATGAAATCTTTGCCAAACATGTCATTTGATTAGATGAGAAAGGCAAACAAGATAGGAAAGTCATCCATCCTACTCAAAAGGAGCTACAAAAAACTCTCTGATCAAAGATAATGTTAGTTGTAAGATTTAGTTGTTAATTGGTTTGAACAGTTTTTTGTTAGTTGGTTATTTGGTTAGTAATTGGTTAACTAGTCATTGGGGTAACATCCTCTATCAATAGAATGGTAGTCTCTTGTACTTGGAATACTTTTGAATAATAATAAAAACTTTGGTTGATAATCTTTGAGTCCAATCTCTTAGATGCTAGGTTGCACAAATTTCTAACATTCATCCATCCTCCATTGGAGTGAATAACATCCGTTTAACACCACACCATCCAAAACAGTAACACTGCATTGTATAATTCTACCTCACTGTTAAATATTTGTCCGTCAATGAATTGAAAGCATAATGGTCAAGGAACATTATCCAGTGTGTGTGTGTATAACAAAACCAAATATCGATGCGGGGAATATCACATTTCCCTCAATTTTCAGTTTTAGCAAGGGCCTAAGTAGGAAAAGGCCCAACTGAAATAGCAATGAGCGGCTATACTTTTCGAAGTTAAAAACATAATGAGATTCAAATTTTAAAATGTAAAATAAAATTTAAAAAACAGAATAAAATAAAACCTGGGTTGGA